ATCTAGTCCAACCTCCTGCTCAGGCAGGAAACCCTATACCATTTCAGACAAATGGCTGTCCAGTCTGTTCTTAAAAACTTCCAGGGTTGGAGCATTCACTGCTTCTGGAGGCAGGTTGTTCCACTGATTAATTGTTCTAACTGTCAGAAAATTTCTCCTTAGTTCTAGGTTGCTTCTCTCCTTGATTAGTTTCCATCCATTGCTTCTTGTCCTGCCTTCAAGTGCTTTGGAGAATAGCTTAACTCCCTCTTCTATGTGGCAGCCCCTGAGATATTGGAACACTGCTATCATGTCACCCCTCGTCCTTCTCTTCATTAGACTAGACTAGACTTAATATTGCTTTCATTGGTTTTAATGCCCACATTTCTTGGGAGAAAGTATAAGGAAAATTAAAGGTCATAACAATTAACTAAGAGCATGTGAATACTGCAGTTAGGGAAGAATGCAATGGATAGTTTTCCTATATAAATATTAGTAAATTGAACAAGTGAATAAAACTCCATGAATCATCAAATCATCAATGGACAGAGGTACAATAGCAAAAAAAATGATGTAAAGATGGTATCATCATCATTTTATGATTTATGAATTGGGGATTAAAAGAGTTACGGAGGAAGGGAAAAGTGAAAGACGGAAATTACTCAATAGAAAGAAGGTTGGAAGACATTTCTGTGTTTTCTTTCCTTTTTTTCTCTTATTTTTAATCTTTTTTTCTAATTTTTCTTTTATGTTTAATCTTTTACTATATTGAAAACTCTAATAAAATATTCAATAATAATAATAAAATTATTGAAGAATTGAGACTCTTGAAAGAGTGCAGAGAAGAGCAACAAAGATGATTAGGGGCCTGGAGGTAAAACTTATGATTGGTTGTAGGAAATGGGTATAGTCTAGTTTAATGAAGAGAAGGACTAGGGGTGACATGATAGCAGTGTTCCAATATTTGAGGGGCTGCCACAAAGAAGAGGGGGTCAAGCTATTTTCTAATTTTCTAAAGCACCAGAAGGCAAGACAACAATGGATGGAAATCAAGGTGAGAACTAACCCAGAAATAAGGAGAAATTTCCTAGCAGTGAGAACAGTTAACCAGTGGAACAATTTGTCTCCAGAAGTTGTAGGTGCTCTTTCACTGGAGGCTTTTAAGAAAAGACTGGACAGCTATTTGTCTGAAATGGTATAGGCTTTCCTGCTTGAGCAGGTTGACTAAAAGACTTCCAAGGTCCCTTCCAACTCTCTTATTCTGTTACCATCATCTTAATTCCTTGGATCAACGCTTCTCTATCTCCACAACTTTAAGAGGTGTGGATTTGAAGTTAAAGGCCATACATTTTAAAGTTGCTGAAGTTGAGAAACATTGCCTTGGATAAACAGAAAGCTATTTTGTATGCTGCTCAGAACACAGAAAAGAATTCAGAAACTACTTGTCCTTCCACAGCAGGGGAACCAGTTACCGTATATTCCAGCTATGATTAAGCTTTCTATCATATTTGGCAAAATATTTGGAACTTATCATAGGTATAAGCCTGCTGTCTACTGAGATGGTGGCTTACTGTGATAAATTATGCTAGAATTTCCTTAAATATAGTACAGTAGATAAGAATCCCATCTGCAATACAGACCACAACCTAAATAAGGTGAAGGTAAGGAAATAAAATATTTCAGGGCCTGCAAGCACACAAGGCTCCATGTACTGACTCTCTGTTGCTTAGACTAGTAGTCAACAATTCTGACCATGTGGAGTAGGACTATAATATCTGGCTGGTGAAATACATGGCATGATACAGCACAGTTTTTTGGGAGGCAGGCGATGGAATATGAGGTTGTGTGGAAGGGAGCACTTTGAGGTGATACCCTTGGGAACTCAGGCCTGCTGCTGGAAGAAAGGGTTGTGTGGCCACCCCTTTTTCATGGTTGTCCCAAATTACCCAGTTAACTTCCAGTTTTCAACAAAAATGCCTGCTAGCATTTTTGCTAATAGGCTTTCTTAATGACCACATCAGAAAAAGGTCATAAGATTGAATCCGTCACATGATGATCCACTTTGCAATCATCACGACTGACAACCATAATGGATAGGTTCCACTAAGGACATAAGATGAGGGCTCCCTGTATTTTTGGCATTTCATGGTAACATGAGGTAAAAGCTCTCATGCATGTTTAATAGTACTTTCAATTACAAGTTAAGCAATTTGATTCATTCCAGTGAATTAGTGAAATTGCTAAAATCTTCCTCTTAATATTCCAGGCCATTGCTCCAGTCCTCAGGCAGTGGGCAATCCTATCATCAGCACCAACATATTAAACCTAAGAAGCAGTCTACTGACACTAATTTTGGATGTATTTAAATCTGGCGGGGCATAAATGCTGCAACAAATAAATAAATAAGGCAGAAGCATTATAAACAGAATGCATCAGACTTTCAAATAAAATCTTGGAAATGCAAACAAAACATTTAGTCTGCTATCAATAGTAGCCAAAACCTGCTTGGCAACCTGATCCTATGTTTTAGAGGTGATTGTACTATTTTCCAGCAAAGGCACCAGATTCAAAGATCAGTTAAACTAAACACTGATTTCCACTTCACACTTCTGTTTATCTAGGGAACAATCAGAGACTGAAAATCAGAAAGATATGATAGAGATACTGTAGATAAAACTTTTTATTTGAGTTCATTCTGATTCCTATTTTCTTGTACTTTCTGTCATCTGCCATAAATTGTTAGGGGGCGGGGGGGGAGTGGAAGTAAGCAATTGGCAGGTAGAGGGTAGAGATGAGCCAGAGGGGAAGAGGTGACAGGGTTGACAGAAAGCAGAGGTGTGAGAACCAGCTTGTTCCAGTCTTCCAGGCCGTGGAGCCTGGCAAAGGAATGTGAACTGCACCATCCGAGCGGTTCCCAAAACACCCATATGGCACACCATTGGATGAAGACAAACCGGTCAAGGAAGGAGGGCTGAGGAGAAGGGGAAAATCTGTAACTCTTTGCGAGGGAACATTAGTTCTAGCCTGCTTCTGCTGCAACCACTAATCCTTAGTAAAAGAGCCTATCACATCAATGAAATGGAGCCGAGGGACTTCCTTTCCTAAGGACCTAGTTGAGGCCAGCCTGACACTTTCTCCCTTTATCCATGCATTGAATGTAATTTTTTTTACTATAAACATAGTAAAATGATATACATTTTTCATGCTACCTTGCAAAATATGGGAAAGTATACTCCAGTTTGGGAAGTGCAAATTGGACAGTTCTTCTAAACACTCCAAGTATATTATACTTTTACAGCAAATATAGGTAATATCAAGTCCAATAAGCTAGGCCAGACTAAGAAACCAATGCCATATAAGTAGGTAAGGACTACGTTTAGTGTAACAGATACAGTAATAGACTCTTGCAAGTCATAATGCGATTCCCTCTCTCTGTGTGTGTCTTTGTCTTTGTGTGAACCCTGGAGAGTCTCTTGTCTGAGACATTTTCACAAGGTATTTTCCTTCCTCAGGCTCAAGTCCTGCTTATCTGACCTTCTGTCTTGTTAGTGGCTGTTTCTCCTGTCCTTCAAGGCAATTCCCTTTGCCCTTTACAGATAAACCCTTAGGTTTATACAACAATGTATAAATTCTTCTAACACTTATTTCTATTAAGGATTCTCCAAATGACCCTCAAAGGTCTTTCAGATATTTAATATTTTTTTTTACAAAACATCTAATAGTAGATGAAATCATTGTTGAAAGTTATCCAAATTCTTTTTATTTGCCTTAAATTAAAAGCTGACACACAAAATAGAAATAGAAACAATGTTAACATCCCAAATAAGTAATGTAATTGATTTGCAAGGAACAATTTAAAACTTTGATCATATTTTTTTAATGTAAATGTCTCTACTTTACAAATGTTTGAACCCGATTGTACTCATGCATAACTCATTTTTCATCCAAAGTCTCTGTCCTACAGAAGCTCCAATTTGTATAATTGTATTTGATACTTTCATTTCCATTATTTGCAGAATAATATTTCAAAATGGTTCATGTTTTGCTAAATTGATTAAAATAAAACACAGCTACAAATTTATGGGATGAACACGGCCTTGGTTAACTTGGATTGTAATCTAAATTAGAAATTGGACCAAATTAATGGTCTCTCTCTCTCTCTCTCTCTCTCTCTCTCTCTCTCTCTCTCTCTCTCTCTCTCTCTCTCTCTCTCTCTCTCTCTCTCTCTCTCTCTCTCTGTGTGTGTGTGTGTGTGTGTGTGTGTGTGTGTGTGTGTACCTGGCCTGTAGAAGGGAAGGTTACAAGTTGCTCAGGTAAGACTCTCTCACCTAGTAGCAGCTTACCAACCCAAAAACATTTCCATTTACCAGTACAAGTGCACACCCTTCCCCACCTGCCAGCAGCCACACCTGGACCCAAAATCATTTGTGCATGCTACTTACCAGCCTGCCTGATTGTGAGCTGCCTAGGATTTGCCAGCTTCCCCAATGACTTTGGTTGTAGGAAGGAAGTTGTGAGGTCCTCACTTAATGATCCCAATTCTCATTTAATAAGAGCAACAGGGATTGCCATGATGGCCATAGCTAAGCAATGTGACATCGTGCTTTGTGACCACATAGCTTAATATAGAAATTCTTGTCCCAATTACCTTCATTTAGTGAGGACTTCCTTTAAAAAAGTGCCATGACACAGTAAATCTGCTCACATGGAAAGAGTCTTGTCCTACTAAATGAGTGAATGCTCCAACACTGGAAGTTTTTAAAAAGAGACTGGACAGCCATTTGTCCAAAATGGTATAGGGTTTCCTGCCTGAGCAGGGGGTTGGACTAGATGACCTTCAAGGTCCCTTCCAACTTTACTATTATTATTATTATTAATAATAATAATAATATAGAGCAGAAGGCAACTTCTTGTTAACTCCCACTTTGTATACCTTGACTTGATGCAGGAAACCAAAGTTTTCTTGGTGACACCAAACCTTTAGTCAGTGGTTTATTTCTAGAATTTCTTTCCCTCAATGGGGATTGGCCTTTCATTGGGAGTACTAATGAGAACACTACTTGTGCTCATAGCTCCTTAACTTTATTGCCTAGTTGCTTATAATTTCTCAATATTGTACTCAGGTTCTTTGTTGTGTCATCCGTCCCAATGTGAAGGAGGAGGAAAGGGTAGTAATCTGTGGGCCTAACTCTGATTTTAAACCTAGACTGGCTGATGAATCTGCAACAAGCTCAAACCCTTAGACTCCACCCGACTGTTCTTCTGCACGCTGCTTTGATTTGGAACTATTGTAAGTCAAACTTGATGAACTTGGGGGGGAAATCTGTCTCTGAACTGGGAGTGCATGTGTTTGCAAGTCTTTTTGGTAAAGCGAATAAAACCACCCCTTCTTTGAATTGGCCTAGAACAAAATTATTTTAGGTTTCTTTCTTCCATGAAAAGACATTATATTTACACCAGCAATTCAAGTTATAATTTATTTTTCTCTCTCATACACTAAAAATTACAGTATAGTAAATCTGAGATTTCTCATTCTAATGTACCTAAAATTTTGCGGTTGTTTTTAATTACACAGAAGACTGAAGCTTAAACGTTTTCTATTTTCTCCCATTCTCTTTTTAAAACACTTAGGAATTTGAAATACAGTATTGGAGGTTATGATTTTGATTTCAGTGGTGTTGTCTAGGTAGTTCTGTCTAGTTCATGATAACTGATCTTTTCTAAGATAAAGCATTTCTTCCCTTAGCCTGGATGAGCAACAGGAAGCAACCTGTTAGTTGATTTAGAAGGGTGAAGGGACAACAGCAAAGACTCCTGTCAATACCTTAGAAGTTAAGCATATGATAGGGTGTTTGCCCTGCCTGGAGACATGAGCAAGAGACGGAGCAACTTCCCTTGCTGTGAGAAACCATCTCTAAGCACGTTGGGCTCCAAATCCCACCTTCTGCCATTTGGGTTGTCCTACTTCCTTCTCTACTTGGGAACTGGTTCTTCTTGAATCCTTCCTCTTTTCCTCGTTTCCTCCCTCCCTCCCATCCATCCATCCATCTATCCATCCATCCATCCATCCATCCTTCCTTCTATTTCAAAAGATGGCAAGGTACATCAAAAAGAAGAAAAAACAATTAATTGCACAGATGCACAGAAGCTATACTAATCACTGTGCTTTTCTTTAAATTAATGAAAACTATAAAAACAGTCAGAGCTGCAGGGACAAATTATTATATTAATGTATAATGGTAGAGACTACTAATGTACTTGGTGCTCCAGTTTCAGTTAAGTGGCCTTTGGTACATAATGTTTTTACTATAAACATAACCAGGAAATGTATAAAAACAAGACAAAAATAATGTTCTTGCTCTGAAAAAGACATCAGTTTTAAAGCATGTGGTACTAGGTTCATTTTCCCATAATCATATTAATGCATGAGAGGCACTGACATTTTCAAAATAGGTATAAAACCCAGTGTATATCTGATACCTTTATACATAGGAAAAAGTAACATTCAGACTAGAAAAAAATATGTTACTGAAACCATTTTCATCTTACAAACTAAATATGTTTTATATTCAAATATAAATATAAAATATAACAGCACACCATATCCAGACATACAAATACTGGCTTTTATGATCTATCCCATATGTATTAATAACAAGGCATGAGTATGAGCCCAATTCTCAAGCTTATATTCTTTCTCTGCCTTCTGTAAGCAGCTCATATGGCAACAACATTCTCTTATGCAAATTGATTGATTATGTGTCATCTTGTATAATATGTAGTAACAACATGAAAATAAATCTGCATAAATAAGAGAATTGCTGGAGGTAAGAATTGTCAATTGAACACAGACAGGTAGGAAAACTGAAGAAGCAATGTAGATAGATCCATTCATCTATGCATAGTATGGATCTATCTATGCACAGTGTTATTTACAAGATTATTACACTACCATGTAGATGTGATACCCTCTTATAAACCACAAATTATATAGAGATCCTAATTTTTTCTAACTTGAATATTTAACAGAATCTTAGTTTATCTTAGTTTCCAGAGAGGAGCTGCAAAAGAGTGCCCACAAACATGAAATTCCCAGATAACAGCTGCATATTGAATGAGAAAACTATTGTGAAATTTCCATGAGAGCACTGAAAACTCATAAGATTTAGGGACTTTTCAAGATATTGTCCATTTTTAAAGCTTGGATATTGACCTGTAACATCCATCATTCAGGCAATCTCATATACAATAACACCTAAAAACATGATGGTACCTTATTTTACTGCTTTAAAGTTAATTCTTTAATTGAATTTAATTGAATGTTACTCTTTCTCATGGAAAATGTTTGGTAAACTTGAAGCAACTTTAAGATTTGGGACATAAATAGATCTTTGAATGTAGCAAATGTTGCACTCAAAAGGTCTCTACTTCAATTCTAACTGGGAGACCTAGAGAAAACACCAGTCTGGTACACTGGAAAAAAATACTGCTAGATCAATACCAGGCTTAGTGGAAGTGTCCCATGCAACAATATACACTGAGAAGGCATTTATGTACATAATAAAGGTATATGGTTTATTTTTCCATACAGAACTTGGTAAAATATTACCTGCAACGTAATCACCAAATCCAATTGTTGTTAAGGTGATAACTACAAAATAAATTGCATCTAATGTATTCCAGCCTTCTATGTGCTTGAAAATGACTGCCGGAAGAGCAACAAATAGAACGCAGCCAAACAGTATGAATATTATTGTTGATATTATGCGGATCTTTGTCTGACTCACATTCCATTTCTGTGGTAAGAAGAAAGAATAAACAAGGGGATGGAAGAAGAAAGAGAAAGGGGGGGAAGAATCCATTATTAGTAAAGTAATATTATTTCATGTATGTATATATAGGTATGCATTTATAAAATGGGTAAATATTTTAACTGAAACCTGGGTGACACCATCTGCAAATGTTTTAAATCAAAATAGACGGCTAAACAGTTCTAATAGTATGATCAAAGGGTGACAGAATAGATTGAAGCCATTGCAAAATCACAAGTTAAAAAAAAGTTTTTTCAACATTTTTCTGTAAAGTATTTATAGCAGATATGCAGTGGCTCTATAGGAATATTTTATCACTATCAAACCCACCAAGCATACATGGAATTGTTTATGGTGAAAACAAAATAAATGGGTAAGTCTTCATACAAGCATTGAACATGAACTTTGTCTGCTCCCATGGATAATTATCTAGGAGAATGTAATTGCTATCAATGGGATTCAGTGCCAAGTAACTGTCCATAAAATTATAACCATGTGCAGTGAATAAATAGGAGCAGAGGGAAGCTAAATTTCAAATTTATTCTCATTCTCTATCATGTATAGAAACTTCAAGATTCATCATGTCAACAAACTTCTGCAAATAGGCAGAAAAGGGAAAGGAAAAAAAACAGTGGATAGGTGATGTAAATAATATTTAAATGAATATTTATTTGAATGCATTTCACTATAAATCATTTATACCAAGAATAATCTACCTTTCTTCAATAGTTCCACCTGCAATAGGTAAGAAAAGCTATTCACAGCATGAAGCTAACCTACCACAGTTTTAATTATCAAATTTTATATGCAGTTATCCAAGAACGGAAGGATTCTCCCAATAAAAAGTATAAAATTTTCTTAAGAAAAAAATGTTCTGATAACAAAAATACAAAATTGTATGTCATACAAAATGTTCATACTTTTTTCATGATGGCAAGAGTTGCATTGGTTACATAAAATACTCTAATCTGATTTCAATACATTTTGTATTCAAGTAATTTATTTCCACTGATAATTGTGCTGAATATCAGTCACAGAATGTTCTTCATTGTAACATAGAACTTAGAATCACAAGGCTGGAAGGGACCTCAGAGGTCTTCTAGTCCAATCTCCTACTCAGAGCAAGAGACCTTATGCCATCCCAGTCAAATCGCTGTCCAGTCTGTTTTTGAAAATCTCCCATGCTGGAGCATCCACAACTCCAGGAGGCAAGTTATTCCATTAATTAATTGTTCTCCCTGTCAGAAAAATTCTCCTTATTTCTAGGTTGCATCTCTAGTAAGCTTCTACCCATTACTTGTTTTATTGAACTGTTGATAGTTTATTTAGGAAGATGTTATACATTTGAAACAGGATATTAAATACAGGTCAAAAAGCTGAAAGGGTTTCTGCTTCTATGGGAAGACCTGGAAAAGAGTGTACCTGTAAAATTACAAAAACAGGACACTCTTTCAAATACAGCAAACATTTACCAAAAGATATTTTGAGGGAAATCCCATCAACTCTCTACCTGATTAAGAGAATCACATTGTGCCCACAGCACAAAATTCTGTCTCATAGACTTAAGCTACCTTCATAGACATACTCTTTAGGATCTCTTAATAGTATTATAATTGGAGTAGGACCAATAACAACAGCAATAGCACTTAGACTTATACACCACTCCATAGTGCTTTACAGTACTCTCTGAGCAGTTTACAATATAAGCATTATTTGCACATTGCCCCCAACAATCTGGATCCTCATTTTACCAACCTCAGAAGAACGAAAGGCTGAGTCAACCTTGAGTCGGTCAGGATTGAACTCCTGGCAATGGGCAGAGTTAATCTGCAATATTCCTTTCTAACCGCTATGGCACCACAGCTCATACAACCAACTGGTGTACATGATCTCTATCATCATATGTTTGCTCTAGGAAAATCTCTGTATCTCTCAAATGGACGTAAGTCATGTGGAAGCTCAGTAACTATCACTGATTTGTATTTTGCCTGAAGAGAACGTGGAAACTATACAGGTAGTTCTCGACTTATAACCACAATTGAGCCCAAAATTTCCATTGCTAAGCAAGACAGTTTTTAAATGAGTTTTGTCCAAGTTGCCACAGTTGTTAAGTGAATAATTGCAGGTTTTTAAGTTAGTAACATGGTTGTTAAGTGAATTTGGGTTCCTCATTGACTTTGCTTGTCAGAAGGTCGCAAAAAGTGATCACATAACCCCGGGATACTGCAACCATCATAAATACATGTCAGTTGTCAAGCTCGCTTTCAGTGTGGCTTGCCTCCTGGAATATAGACTCCTGGACGTCAGCCATATATTTACTATGCTCTTGGCACAATATAGAAATATTTTCCAATTGCTTTTTCAAGATGTTTTCAGATTTTTCCATCTAGCCTAGAGCCCAGGTTATTCTCTGAATGTCTCCCATACACAAGCTAACCAAACTGGAATGTCTTAGGTCAAACTAGATGTTTAGACAAATGAATATAATTTAGGGCCCTCAATTTATTTGCTTGGTTTGAAGAGTAGTTGGGAAGCTCTGTTAAATTCAAGACCGGTGAAAATATTAGCCCTCTGTTTTTTTTCTTTTGATCTAAATCACATCCCTCTACCCCCACTATTATCATTTCTACAGACATGCACATATAAGCCATGTTGGCTTAAATGTCTATTTGGACACATGGACACACAACTCCTGATGCTAAATAAGAGGGCATTTAGAGGTGAAAGGCTGTTAGTGAACAATTAAATGCTTCTTCTCTTTTTCCATCAATGTTTTTAGTATTAAAGTGGACAAGGACAAAGATGAATAAGAAAGAGAACATGTGTTTTCATGCAACACTGAATGTATTTTAAAATTAAAAATAATACAATATACACAGTTTACTTTATGCCAGACTTTTAACCACGAATACATGACCAAAATCAAATATCTGTAATAAAATATTTTCAAAATTACAGAACTAAATCATATTTCAGAACAATGTATGTAGCATACTCACAACAAATGTGTCTTCTACTTTGGCAATCCCTTTCCCAAATATGGTCCCTAGTTGATCTCCAACTCCAGCCAACAGAAAACCAAAGAGAGGGATTCCCAGTAAGGCATAGATGATACAGAATATTTTTCCACCTTCTGTACGTGGTGAGATGTTCCCAAATCCTAAATTACAAACAACTTGAGCTGTTGATAAATCAGTTAAAGGCATTAAATTACACATCTAATTAGTACTGCAGATAAGGACACTTTTTAAATATTCCATAGGAATATACGATCCCATTAATTAACAGACTAATACAGAGATTCTACACTAATTGGATTGCTAAATTCATCTCAAATTGAACTGCATTGGGGATTCTTCAAAGAATCGGACTTTTTAAAGCAAGTGAAACAAATAGTGGAAAGACTCCATTACTCTCTTCAAAATGCAATATCTATACAGATTAATTCAGAAATATATTCAATTCATTTCAGAGGTAAAATTTTCTTATAAGTAATTTTCAGTAATATACTGAAAACTCAGAGAGAGTTACTAAATAATGTACGGATTGGTAGCTACTGTATAAAATAAGTTTCTGGTACCACCTACCACACTATTTCAAATTCTCTTTTTCCAGTGACCACTCAGCCTGACTATAAGATTTACAACTTTAATTGCATATAACAATAGCACTTAGACTTATATACTGCTTCACAGTGCTTTACAGCCCTCTCTAAGCGGTTTACAGAGTCAGCATATTGCCCCCAACAATCTGGGTCGTCATTTTACCGACCTCGGAGGATGGAAGGCTGAGTCAACCTTGCGCTGGTGAGCACCGAACCTCTGGCAGTTAGCAGAATTAGTCTGCAATACTGCATTCTAACCATTGCACCACTCCGGCTCTTCATATAGACTGGATGATCACCTTCCAATCTTATATTCTATTTTCCTCCCCAAAATTGTTGTACAAATGACTGCATATCTCTTTTCTATAAATGATATGACTTAAGACTCAAGCAAGATATCAAGGTCAGTAATGTAACTTTTCATATATTCCTGCCACCCTCCAAGCTTCCAAGCTTACTGAACTCTTAAAGCATTTTAATTTTAAAAAGAACATACAGCTAGCATGTTGCAAAGGCCTGTCTTAGACATAACCTGTATTTCCAACAATACTTCTCACCTCCAGATAGATTTCAGAGGCATACTTAGAAAATAAATTATTGGAACTTCCAGTCCAATGGTTTAGATGCCTTCTGGATCTAGGTCTTTATGTGGCCACATCACAATATATCCTCAAACCACAAATATCCCCCCTGCCCCCCCTAAAATTTAGGGAATCACAGAGCTTTTGGATCAAAATTATCATATATGCTCTTAGTATCGTGCTTACATCCATCTCCATTGTAACTTTTTAAATTGAAAACAGCAATAATCTATAATCTATTTCTTTTCGTTTATCTTCAGTTGCTATATTGATCAAATCGGTTAAACTGGTACTTTGCCTTCACTATATAATCATATAGAGTGTTACTGAGGTTGTTATCTGGTACTGTTATTTTGCTTTCTTTAACTTTTGTAAATGATTTTGTTTCTTTCATTTTGCAAACATGGTTTTATGATTTGAACTTCATTTAGTACCTATCCAGCATTTGCTGACTGAGCAGTTAGTCTACTCAGTCAGCAAATGCTGGATAAGTGCTAACTGAAGTTCAAATCCATTTTGCCTACACAGTATATACAGTAGTCTGTTTAATTTGGTGTGGTCCATCTCATAAAATCTAAAATTCTTTTAGATTGTTATTTATTGTAAAAATTGGATATTTTTTTTACAGAAGTGTATTAGTTTGTCTCCTGGTTCAACGCATAAACCAAGTCCAAATTTTTAGATTATTGTAGATGCTATTTTATTACCATACTTGGCATTCTTATCTCCTATAATTGACATGTCTTTCTTTGTTTTTGTGTTGATACAGTGCCACAACTTTCCATGAAACTGTTCAACTTCCACCTCGCCTTCATCTGAGATTGAAGCATAAACCAATTTGTAGACTGGCTTCACCTGAGCTTGAATTTTCTATCATTTTTAGTTGTATCCAAGTACCAAGTTTATTTTTTTTATTAACAATGATGGCTCTTCCATTTCTTCTATAATGTTCTTGTCCATAATATATCTGATGCTTCTCCAACGTGAAGCAACCATTTCATCTATTTCAGTTCACTACTTCTGTTCTGACATTAGGTTTATCTTGGTTCCTGATTCTGATATTCCTTGTACCAATGGTATGTTTATTTTGGCAACAATGAACTTTCTTTTTGCCTCTGGCCAGAGTATTTCACTCAACACCTTCTGATCTTGGGAGCATATCTTCTACTATCATGCTGACATTGTTCTGGTTATGAATGTCCATTCGCTTTTCTTGGCAGAATACTGAATTGGGTTTTCATTTCTTTATTTAGTGGATCCTATTTACTCTGGTTCCTTCTCTACTATCTGCTAGGATGGGTGGCCCTGCTGGAAATGTACTTTGCTGATGGCATAACTCCTTGATTACCACAAAGTAACAGTCTACAAAGGAGTGCCTATTTGCACCTGAATAAGCCATTGCCTATTTACGATACAGGGCTTTAAATGGGATATTCATTGCCCTCTGATTTCATTAATAAGTTAAAAACAGCAATAGGAAAATTGATAGAATAACAGTATGATACAACATTAAAATAAACTAAAGGTTGGCAGTGGAATTGTTATCTAGAGAAGTGTTGGATTTTCCTTCAGGCTAGACAGCAGAGCAACCTACTATGCAGCTTGCATAGTAACATTGTTATAGGTACAGTCCTAGGAGCTCCCTACTTGGCTCACTTGGGAGAACTTACCATATCTAAAATTCCCTGTGATTACATACAACTGCCAAATGTATTATAAATCACCTGATTATATTATTTCAACTATTCATGTCTTCTGAATGATAAGCATTTATTTTAGTCATCCAACATCTCCAGATAATATTTCTTATCAAAGAGCCACTCAGAAATATTTCCCCATTCTTATTAATCTCTTGCTATACCTTTGTGATTGGTTAACTGCTTCTCAGTATATCCAGTACAGAATTTTAGGAAACCTTAGAGTTGTCCTAAGTATTTCTTGACATAGGCAGGGACTATTTAATGACTTTATTAGGACTCTCATATGTGGCCTGCAGAAATGATCACTAGATGAATATAAAAAGGCATATAAAACTATCTCTTTGCTGATTTCTGCTGGTCTTTGAGATTTTTGCAAAGTCTGATAATTCTACACTTTATCAAAGACTACTTGCATTAGAGTATTTTGGCAGTGGCATTCGTTGTGTGTCTGTCAAAAAAAAGAGGTAGGTGGCAGAAGCAGCATTCCAATATTAAGTCTCCCCCTCCTCCGTTGGTATATGTGATGTCAATTTGCAGTGTAACATGTTCTTTGCAATTAAATTTGCTTGTTAATTATAACTGTTAATCATTAAAACAGAGCTGGAGTTAAGGACTTCTATTCAATAAAGTAGGAAAAAATGAGATTTCAATATAAGAGCTATTGTAATCCAAAGGCCACACAATTTCAGCACCAAAGCTTATTAAAGAGGAGTAGAATGACATTTCTAAAAGAAAATGGGTAACTGGTTATTTGTGAGAAGTTCTCCTAACTCAGTTTTAGGAATAGCAAAATGTTTGTGCTGTATTCCTGTAAATCCCAGGAGAATGAAATAAATGGTTATACATTTAAAACACAGCTGTCCTTCAGACAATGCAAAACAAATCACAATTTTTTAAAAAACATATTGTATCTAATATTTAACTTTATATTAATTTATGCTCCAATAAAATTTTTTAAAACCTAGATATTTTGACTCTACAATGTCATGATTTGTCAGGACACCTCTAAGATTTTCTTCTTTACTTCCATCATAACCTATTTTAATTAATCCAGATACAGAAAAATATAATATATAGAATTTACATTTCCTAAATATAGCAATCTACTGGCCATATGATCACATTTAAAGGATATGGACGGCAGCATATGATAAGCAGAAATACTGTATTTGGTTGTCAGAAACAAACTGCTCTGTTACCAAAATCTTATTCTTTTTATATACTGACAATACAACTGAATTTTGTCTGGTTATAAGAACACATCTTTGTTCAAAGGTCAAGGACAATTTTTTCATTAAGGAAACAGGGCCTTACTACTTCCTGTAAATCATTAAAGCACAGGAAAATTAGAGAAAGAGCAACAGTAATGGAAGACAGTAATAGTAAATTTTAATGACTTCTAAATGGCATCAATGTGTAAAGCAGAAGAGGGCAAGAAAATAAAGGTTATATGGCATGATGCCATCAATCCTTAAAAGTTTAGTTATGAACGTCGCATTTTAATTACTCTGTTAAAGTAGAAAATAGTTGAAATCTGTCACTTTAATGCTTTTTATTTTACATTATGAAAGCTGAAACCATTCTCACATCAAATCAATTTTGCAATATCATCGCAATTATCAATGCAATCAAATTCAAAAAATATGTTTACCCACACATAATAAAAGAGGAAACACAGCAGAAAATAGATCTGTGAAGAACTTTGGATTCAAAGGCAAAAAGAGTGCGTGGGGAAATGTAAGTATATCCTAGAGTAGCTCTTGTACTTTTTAAGAGCAGCTTTGTCCTGCCACTCAATCCCTGAAAAAGTTGTGGATCAAATCATCCATAGCAGGTGGGAAGAAAAATGAAATGCAAGAAAATGTGATCACTGTTTCTCTATATAGGGCTTGTTCTTGAATCATAGCAGTTGTTGCATTTGCTCATCTATTGCTGATCTATAGTTTCTGCATTTCTTGTGGATCTGTGTTTCTCAACCTCAGCAAGTTTAAGATGGCTGGACTTCAACTCCCAGAATTCCCCAACCAGCATGCTGAGTGGGGAATGCTGAGACTTGAAATCCATACATTTAAAACTTGCTGCAGTTGAGAAAATACTGGTTTAAATGGTTCATTCCTGTCTATATAATGAAGCCTGACACTTATTTGAAAATTGTTTGCTCAAGTATTTACTTTTTACTTGTTTCTTTTCAGGCTGATGTGGAAATCAAATGTTCTTAAGTATTTACTGGTGTCATTGTGATCATGAATATTATCCATACAAGCTACTGTAGTTA